TGTGGTGAACTTCCGAATAAGTATAAGTAATGAAAGATGGTAGATTTTAATTTAAAAGTCTAGATTCTTTTAGCTGTCAGTCCTGTTGCTAGGGTGGGGAGTGGTAGTGGTGTGCTCCTTCAGGTGAGAGTGTAGTGGTGGTGGGCAGAGGGTAAGGCACGTTTATGAGTTGGCCCCACACCAGGCTTTTCTCTGTCTTCCCTAGGCCATGAGACTGATTACTTACTGTGGTGAGAGAAAACCCTAAAGGGCCACTCCACACTTCTCATTTGCCCTTTAGAAGACCTAGAAGATTGTAGGAACAGATGGATTGCATGAACTGGTACCTGAAGTTTAGGGAGCCATCAGTTCAATCAGAAGTTGTATTTATTTGAGTGTAGCTGTAAAGATGTGGTAAGAGAAGAAGCAGGGAGATGTGCAATGTTCAATTCCTCTTTGTTTGACTTTCCCACTAAAATCTAAATTCCTTGAAGGCAGAGACCGACTCTTTCCTCTTCTCTTATATATAGTGACTGGCAAACAGACTGGTCAGCAAGTGTTTATTCAACGAATGATTTAATGATGGAGCAGGACATGTTTTGACACTGAGATGCCATATGTTTGAACCAGCTGAAAACGTATGTTTGATTTTAATTTTAAAGCCATGTTCTAATTATAATTGTTTTTATTGGAGGCATATGGAACTTTCAATCAAGAGGAAAAACTGAGATACTTCAAATTATGTGAAGATAGAAAGATTTTTCTTGTTTAGTCAAGAATTATTGCATTGCAGGTAACAGAAACCCACTTAAGCTAGTTTAAACAATAAAGGTTTGAGGAAAAGGAAGGCAGTGTTTCTATACCTCCTGAGCTCCTGGAACCAGCCCTGGGAAGTCATTGGAAGCCCAGATTGCATTTCTTCTTTTCTTTGGTCTTCTTTCCTTGATATTTCTCTTTTTGTAGAGCCCATCCTATATGAATGATGGATGCTTATTCTAAATTCATGAAGTAATACCAATTTTTTCTTTTAAAATGGCCTGGTCTGCACATTACTTTTTTTATTTTTCTTTCTTTGAGATGAAGTCTCGCTCTGTGGCCCAGGCTGGAGTGCAGTGGCCCGATCTTGGCTCACTGCAAGCTCTGCCTCCCGGATTCACACCATTCTACTGCCTCAGCCTCCTGAGTAGCTGGGATTACAGGCACCCGCCACCATGCCTGGCTAATTTTTTTGATTTTTAGTAGAGACAGGGTTTCACCGTGTTAACCAGGATGGTCTCGACCTGACGTCATGATCTGCCCACCTTGGCCTCTCAAAGTGCTGGGATTACAGGCGTCAGCCACTGCGACTGGCCTACTTTTTAATAGTAAATTGAAGTTATGGATGATAGATATATT